TATTTTTTTTTTCTGTTTTAATTTCCTTTCAAATAAACCGAAAACGTTTTCATTCAATTCGAAATGCATTTTTATATAAATTTTCACATATTGGCAAAATCACAATTGATTTTATAATTTTTTATTTTTATACAATAAAAATATTAATACATTTGAAAAACTAAGACATTTTTACAAGCTTGAAATTTTATGATTTTTATTTTACACAGGACTTTTTTATATGTTCAATTTTACACATAAAACCACAAATAATTGTTGTAATTTGTTTACGATATCGAAGTTTTATTAAATAAAATATATATTTATGTTTTTCGTGAAACTAAATGTTGTACACTAGGGAAACAAACTAAATACAACGAAGAAAAAAAGTTGCAGAGGAACGAACGACAGCATCATACAAAAGACTACCACAATACAGTTTAACTGTTCGATTGAGGACGAAAGCACGAGACACGCTGTACTGTGTTAAATTCTCACAGTTCCACTTTACATACACATCTATCTACCTATCTAGCTAAACTCAGTCAGGTCTCTCAGAAATATTTCTCCAATTTCTCGCATTGCGACCATTTCTTTCATTCTTTTTTTTTCAACAATTTTCTTTTTTTATAATACATAGAGTTTGGAATTGCAAACCGAATATCGTACAATTGCTATGAGTGTCAACGACGACTACGTCATCATTAAGGAAAGGGTGTGTGATTGCTAAAAGGAATTTCCAATTTTTATCTAATAGAGTATAAAATTTCTACATTTTTATAAAACAAGAAGAAAAAAAAAAATAACAGAAACATCTGCAATTACTTTATGCACTTATTGAGCGAGCGTTTATATGGTATATATGTGAGTTCATGTACTCTTAACTCTTTAAAGTATAAGTAAATAAAGTAATTATACTATTAAGTCACTGCAATATACTATTGCAATTTAAAATATTTGTAAGTGTAAAAGTTAACAGTATGTTAGCAGCCTTAAACTATGCTATGATTTAATAACCAATAAAAAACATAAACGAAAAAAATAAGTTTTGATGTCAGATACTTATGATTTAATTATATTTCGCATTAAATCAACTCAATTCCGTGGCTATATATTTTTTTGTATATTTCCTACGTTCCATTCACCCAATTTTCACTCTTGTTTATTTGAGTTTTAAATATGTTTCGCTAAAAATAATATTTGAAAAATTTTAAATAAAAATTTAGCATCAATAAGTATAAGTTTATCGTATCTAAAGGAATTTAATGGTATTTTTTCTTTCGATATAAAAATATGTTCAGTATTTTAAATAGAAAATTAAATATACGCGTGTTGGAGAGAATTGCACAGTTGATGAAATATACAAACTGACGTATATACAAATGTATATTGTTAGGTCAGTATGACATTGTCACACAGAAGCACAGAAGAGCGCAAATACATGAAAAACTTTCAATATGAGCAACATTTTTAGAGGGCATGCGCTTTTTATAGTTTGTTCGCATGTAAAGCCTAAAGTTCTATAACTTCATCGATAAGTATAAATTTAAAAACTGCCGCATTAAGTATCATTATACCATATATATATATAAATAATTTTATTATTTATTTATTTCAAAAATTTCATTTACTTAAAAGTATTCATTTACTTAAAGTAACTTATTTTAAATATTTCATTGGAAAAATTCCAATTTATTTTATGTCTATGTAGTTCTTTAGGAACTAACTAAAGAACTAAATCTATTGAAACCACATACCATATACCCCACCATTGTTGACTTTAGTTTCCTTTTTACTGTTTCCAAGCAAAATGTGCATACTAAAGTGGAAATTCAGACAGGGCGGTAGTTCAAAAGGAAATAAAAATACTCATATATGGGTGATTAGCACAGTAAATCGTCTTTTGACAACACCCCAAATCACAAACATACTTAAATCACATGGTTGACTTTAGAAAATCTATAACCAGCATTACTGACATTAGTCACAAAAATAAAAAATTATATTAATAGTCATTTGATTGATTTTATTTTTTAATAAAAATAGTGTTTTACTTTTCAAAAGTTAATTTTTTAATATCGTTTATTCCTATATAAAAATTGCAAACGTTTCAAAATTTTCTGACATCTTGATTATAGGTGTAATATCCCGTGTTCAATAAAAATATACGCCGTTCAAATAAAAGACTTAAACGTAGACGTCAAAATTTTAAACTTAAACATCAAAATAATAGATGTAGACATCAAAATAATATTTTAAACGTTAAAATAGACTTAGACGTCACAATTAGAAAAATTATTAGACGTCTATAAAGAAAAATTGTACAAGGAACTGACAGTAAAAAGAGTAGACGCAGACATCAAAATAATAGACTTAAGTACCAAAATAATAGACTTAATTAGCAAAATTATAGGCGCAGACATAAAAAAAAAATAGACTTAGACGTCACAATCATAGATAGAGAAAAGTTTTACAACAAGTAACTGACATTAAAAAGGGTAGACGTAGAAGTCAAAATAATAGATTTAAGTACCAAAATAATGGACTTAAGTAGCAAAATAATAGGCGCAGACATAAAAAAAAAATAGACTTAGATGGCACAATTATAGATAGAGAAAAGTTTCATAATAAGCAATTGACTTTAAAAAGAGTCTGTCTACATAAAAAGTCATCAACCAAGAACTATTAACAGGAAAAAGAATATTGAAAACATGAGCACAAGATACCTACTGTACTTCTTCAATAAAACACAATCTTATTACCATATTTAATACTGTTCCACTATGAATAGTCCTAACTTAATTAGAGTAAGATTAGTTATTATAAAATCTCCCCATGACGAGGCAGTCAAAAAGCTTCGATATATTCGTAATCAATATAAGGAAGAACTATATAAATAAATATGCATATAATTAAACGATATAAAAGATTTTTTAAGTTTATTTCTTGAAATGAAGCATAGTATTAATTTAATAAGACATCTCATCTTATGCTCTTGCACCGCAAACACTGAGTTTGCAGCTTTAGACAGAATACTGTTAGTTCTACTTAGAACTTGTTGGTATTAACAAAAAAGTTATAACGCTAGAATACATTTGATCACTTATGAGAACATAGATATGTTATCATAATAACAAACAACTATTAGTTGTTGTAAAACACAGTATAAAAAACTTTCTTGATTGAAACGATAAGTACTTATCGGAAATTTTTAATTCAGCAATTGCTTCAGCTCATTTAATTAATTTTTATTGATTAAAAGACTATGTATTTTATTCATAATCGATTTAATTACTAACAAGATTTAAAAACTTCCAATCATGCTTTGGTTTTGACAGACAAGAAATGTATTCACCTTAATTGAAGTATTAATTAGTACTAGCTTTGATAACAATAAATAGATCTTTAAAAGAAGTGTTAACAGGTTCATGCTAGGATGCATGAGGATATCAATATATTTAAGTATATGCGTTAAACACTGAAAGATCTAATGCCAGACATAAACTGTCTAGGTATAGCTTTAGATACGGTTTATAAAAAAGTATTATTTATTAATCAAATTTTATATAATTTATAAGTTTATTTATATAATTTGGTATGTTAATCTATTGAGTCATTGATTTTAGCCAGGTTTAAATAAATTACCTACCTCGCAATACTATATAACAGCAAACTCAAAAAAAATTTATTAAGTTCTACATAAATTACAAACTATGAATTCATTTTAATTTCTATTAGTTTTCAAATGTCAATACGAGTATGATAAATAAGTATTTCGATATCATAAAATTATGATAAATTACTTTTAATTTTTAACCGCTTCAAATCATTTATGTATGTCAATAATTTAAAGTTCTGTTATTGAATGATTTTATTAATTTATATATATATATGTGTATATTAAATAGAAATGAAGAAATATGTAGAAGATCTCAGCAGGCAACCGAAATCACTATCCTATGGAAATCATACAAAGAATACAATCATGCAAGTACAACAATAAAAACGTTCTTATGTCTACAGCTAATCGAGGATGATAAGAATCACCGAATGTCCGCACTCTTTTTGAGACTGGAAAATTATTAAATACGATTTTGGCAATGAACATGTTGAACATAGATATTCTTGACATAAGCCAGAGATCGTGGTAACCAGATTGCGGTGAATTCATATCATGCAATTGTAACAAATTTAAGTTAAATGTAATGTACAATCAAAATATCGTATAGATCTATACGATCGTCTAGATCGTCTATATAATCTATAGATTCGAAATCGAATTAGCAAATAAAGAAGAAGATATATATATATATAATATATTTAGTATAAACTATGTAACCAAACATGAATCATATTTTTTTTCATGAATCATAAGGATTCAAAACTAAGAAAGATAGATTCTATACTGTCTTTTATTAAAAAAATCGGATTTGGAGAAACACTTTAATCCGACTAAGGGGCACAATAGATCTTTTATGTCACTGTGCACTACCACTTTTCATATAATAATATGAATGTAACCCAACAAAGGAATACGTTCTAATTTCATAGAAGATTATTTATATGTAGTACATACTTAACTGAATAAATAGGTAATATGTATTTCAAATTTTATGCTTGAGACTTCGAAATGAGTATGTCAATAAATTATATTTTCTCTAGAACTTTTTACTAGGTATTATTACCATTAATAATTCTCTAGAACTTAATTTATTATGTGAGATTGTCATAACTAACGTAATAGTTGCTCAGTTACATCTAAAACACATTTTAAAAATGTTCAATTATGATATGTAATGCTATCTTACATGAAACTAGTGAAAACCTTTAAGAAGTAATGGTATGATTTCCTACTTGGAAATATTAAAACAACACATAATATTAAAGCATAGCAAATGCTCTGATGCAAATATCGTTAAACAACATCGCAAAGCGTGCACTGGCAGCTGGTCTGTCAATCAATATCAACAAAACCAAGTCTATGCGTCTCAATTCAAACTGCTTAACGAAGTTTCAACTAGATGGCTCCTACATCGAAGATGTACAAAGTTTCTGCTATCTGGGAAGCTACATTTCGAACAACGGCGGCAGTCGGCAAGACATACAGTACAGGCTATCGAAAGCGAAGCAAGCGTTTGGAACCCTTAACAAAATCTGGCGTTCATCCAACATCACACAACGCACTAAGATACACCTGTACAATGCAAACGTAAAATCAACTTTACTATATGGTAGTGAGAGTTGGAACCTAACGGCAAGAGACGCACAACAGCTACAAGCCTTTGTCAATCGTTGTCTACGACGCATCCTTCATGTATTCTGGCCAGCAACCATAACCAACAATGAGCTCGAATTTAGAACGAATCAGCCTCTTATAACTGATGAAATAATGATGCGCAAATACAAATGGCTTGGCCACACGTTAAGAAAACCCGCTGATGATATCGCAAGAAATGTCTTAGATTTCAACCCTCAAGGCAGTAGAAGACCAGGGCGTCCGCGCAACACTTGGAAACGACAAACTGAAGCCGAATTAAGAAATGCTGGAAAGAGCTGGAGTGAAACAAAACGTCTTGCATTAGATAGAGTTCAATGGAAACTATTTGTTACGGCCCTCTGTTCCACCTAGGAATAAAAGGATTAAATAATAAATGCTCTAAAGACTATTCGGTCTTTTAATTACAAAGACATCATTTGATTGTCATTTGATAATAGCAGGATCGCTGCATTGTAACTTTGTTAGTAAGTTAGTAAAACTAGGTCACATTGATTTTCTGACATTGCAGGAGAAGTACTTATTGAACTGTAAAATAAATACATTGTAAATGTATTATTCTGTATGTATTAAATAAAATATAGTTAAAATATTGTCCTGCACAAGGTATTACACAGAATTGTCACAGTCAAAACTATTGACATTCAAAGTCTATGTTGACAAGGTCACATCGCATAAATAACTAAATATCTTTAAACACGTAAACCACTCAAAAGGCATTGTGACAACTGAAAAATGGTAACAACGACTAACGACATTTATTTGGTTTTAGAAAAATAAAAAGGAATAAAAAGATTTGTTACTTTTGAAATAGACATGCAATATCTAAAATTGCATTTTCTATAAATGCATTATTAAATAATACATTGTGACCGAAAAGTTTTCGGAAATTCTCATTTAAAATTCGCGCGCTGTATATTTTTCGATATTTTAAGTTTATGTAGTTTGGCAGCACTGTCCTTAATTACTATGCCAAAAATGAGCGCGATCTGTCAGACAGTTCGTTTACGGCAGCTGTTGAAACCAGTTCACCTCAGTAGTGCGTTGCGAAAAAAACAATGGAAAAAAATATTGAACAAAGAGTTTGCATCAAATTTTGTTTTTCGAACGAAATTTCGTGTGCAGAATCGTTGCGAATGCTACAAAAGGCTTATGGGGAATCAGTTTTATCGAAAACTCAAGTTTATGAGTGGTACAAAGCCTTTCAGGACTGTCGTACGACCGTCGAAGACATGCCGCGTTCTGGACGACCTTCGACCTCTACCACCGACGAAAACATTGAAAAGGCAAAGGAAATCGTGTTCAAAAATCCTCATGTGAGTGTTAGAGAGATAGCACGAGAGCTAGGCATCGGTCGTGAGATGGCTCGTTTGATTTTGGTGGACAATTTGTGTATGCGACGTGTCAACGCCCGGCTTGTTCCGATTCACCTCAATTTGTTCAACATTATCAACGATTTTAAGGCCAAACATTCAATAAATACCATCGAACAGCCACCGTATTCACCTGATCTTGCACCGTGTGACTTTTTCCTGTTTCCCAACCTCAAATTACCACTCAGAGGAACGCGTTTTGAATCCATAGAAGACGTAAAACAGAATTCGCAGAGGGAACTCAAAGCCATACCGGAAAGCGCCTATAAAAAATGTTTTGATGATTGGAAGAAACGTTGGCATTTGTGTATCGCTTCTAATGGAGCATATTTTGAAGGAGATAAAATAAATATTGATGAAGATTAAGAATTTTGCGTTTTATTTAAAATTTCCGGAAACTTTTCGGTATGTAGGTATATACATTTTATAGTAAATGGTAACTCTTGAAAATTATAATTATCAACTTTCCAGAACTAATAAAAGTGTAAGTGTTAATATAATATAATATAATATAATATTTTATAATAAAATTAAGTTATATCTATTTTATGAACTACTTTTTCATTGTCAATGTAGCGTATAAAGTTATGTCAACAAAACAGCTTATATTTTCATTTAGCACCAATTTTATACTTTTTATGCACTTTGGCATTGTATAAAAACCACTACATTTTCTCTAGTATTTTTATTTTCTAGTTGTTAGTTGTTAGATTGGCTTGCTTATTTGTTGACTTAGCAAAAAATGTATCTAAAAAGAAAAAATAGTTGAAAACTGACATTGTTTTGAGCAGTAGTGATTTTTACGAAAGAGACCCCAAACTACGTCATTGTTTTTTGTCGTTGCCGTAATTTTCAAACAATTATATTAAACTAAAATACAAGTCAGATATTTTTTTATTAGCACAGAAAAAAAAAAATAATAAACAAATGAAATTCAATTAAACAAATTTAATTGTTGTTAATGGAAAAGAAAAATAGCTGCAATTATATTGCACTGCAGCGTGCAGTAATTTGTTTTAATTCAAAAAAAAAAAAAATGCATTATATATACATAATATATATATATGTCTATTAAATAATGGGATTAGTCAGCAGATGTGCTGTAATTTTTAATAGCGCTATTATACTCACATATAATTTAAATGAATTCTAAAAACATTTAGTAACGTAATAAATCGAAATAATTATGCGAATATAATTTGCGTTAACAGGTATTCATATTTTATAAGTATACGAAAGATACTGAAGTATCTTTAGAAATATATATGGGCTATATATTCATCAATTTAAAATTTTGAACTAAAGTATTTTATGTTGCACCATAATTATAACTAAATATATCACTTTCTATTGAACCTAATAACACAAAGAACAACTTCAATTATCTTTAAACGTGAGTTTCTTCCAGATAACTACGATGAAATTACATAAAATTCATTTTTTCAATTTAATATATATGTATAAATATATATATATGTATATTTTTTTTTTATTGTTAATATAATACTGGAACTAGTTTACAAACATTTAAGCAATTTTTGTTTATTAAATATTAATTTGAATTTAAAGTATACTTCTTATAAGCTAATTACCAACAAGGTCGTTGGGTAGAATTCGTTTGAATCTTCGATCTGTTTGTATAGAACACCTAAGTCTGCAGGCATAAGAATTTGCGAACTTAGTAATGACGTCTGAGTTACTTATATACCTAGGCGCTTTAACAATACACCTCAATACCTTATTTAACCATATATAAGAAATGAAAATAAGCGCATAGGCATACAAAGTTAACATCAACGAAAAATCTACTCGATAATGAAAGTTCCTCAGTCTCTTTTAAGAGAAAGATTCTAAAGCGGAAGCTTCTCTCTAACAATAACGAGTTAATGATCAAAATTTGTGGATTTAAAGAGTTAATAAAAAAATATTCCAATTTAAGAGATACAAATTTAGTGTCTTCAGCAGACTTATGAGAAATAAATAGATCAACATTTTTACTATATACATTCTTTTCCGAATTTCTATCCTTCTTTGTTAAAGTGATGAAATTTTCAAAAATTAAAAAAAAATATTTGAAAAATTTCTTCCTTTTTTGAGGGGAAATGACTTTAAAGGAACAATGTTTATCTATTTATACCTAGCAAATTTCTTTAAAACACGACGTTCTTAATATCTTGAAACAAAAACTTTTTATTAATATTTGAAAATCTCAAAGTTTTGTTGTTGTAGTTTACTACTTTTCGAAACCTCTCTACCAAATAAACATAATTATATGAATATATGTGTACTATATACCAGGTGCTGGGTTCACAACCCGCCTCGTCAAAAATATTGTGACTCATCATCAACCAAACAAAAAACATAAAACAAGTCAAAAAAAACGGAAGCGTGATATAATTCTGGGAACATGGAACGTACGTACGCTGCTGAGAGCAGGAGCACTACAAGAAACAATTAAGCAAATGGAAAAATACAACGTTGACGTGCTAGCGGTCCAAGAAGTACGGTGGCAAGGATGTGGTGAAATTGAATGCAACGGTACAAAATTCCGTTTTAGTGGTATCGCTGAAAGGTCTGGTAGGTCTGGGACTGGATTTCTGCTTAACAAACGAGTGGAAAAATCGTTTTTGGGCTTCAGACCAATAAATGACAGAATATGTGTAATCTCCCTTAAAGGAATGTTTAGCAAATTTACGCTGATAAATGCCTATGCTCCAACAGAAGACGCAGATGATATCGCTAAAGAGACCTTTTATACAGACTTAGACGAGGCATTGAGCAAAATTCCATCACATAATACAAAAATATTACTTGGAGACTTCAATGCAAAAATTGGAAGAGAACAATACATTTCTAATGTAGCTGGCTTACACTCACTACACACCGTGTCATCAGACAATGGTAAACGGTTGTGTCAGCTCGCAACTGGCTCCGGTATGTACATTAGCAGCACGCATTTTCCACACAAAAACATACATAAGGGGACATGGCAGCTACCAGGCTCAACAACAGCCAACCAAATAGATCATGTTCTTATAGACCATATTAAGAAATCGTTTATCCTTGATGTTCGTAGCTGTAGAAGTGCGAATGTCGATAGCGACCATTTTCTGGTAAAAGCCACAGTAAGACAAAGTCTAAAGGGCGTGCGTAGAAATTACGGATCTAGAAGGAAAAAATGGGACGTTGACAAGTTACATGATAGCGAAACGGTCCAACAATATGAGCAGAGAGTAAACGAATCACTTAGACATATCACGAACTATACCAATATAAACGAGCATTGGAAAGTTTTTGCAAATTCAATCACAAAAGCAGCAGAAGAAACCGTTGGTGTGAAAAGAAATCGTAGACGCAACAATTGGTTTGATAACGACTGTGCAGTCGCAGTGGAAGCTAAGAATGTAGCCAGGGAGCAAATGTTAAATGACAACAGCATTACTAATCAAAGCAACTACAAAAACAAACGAAAAATAGCAAATATAATATGCAAAAGAAAAAAAAAAGAAGCCGTCAATAGAGAAATCCTAGACATCAATAGAGATTTTGCAGATCGAAATGCTAAAGGTTTCTTCCACAACATCAAGCATCAAACGAAGGGTTTTCAAGCGCGAATCAACATGTGTAAAGACAAAGATGGGGAACTACTAGTAGAAAAAGAGGGCATTATCAAAAGATGGCAGGAACATTTTCAAGAACTTTTCAACATTGGTTCGGAAAGTAATAACCTATCCTTAACAGACTTAGCTACAAGTACAGAACAAGAACCTGAACCCAGTCTTGAGGAATTTACAGAAGCCATAAAGCAAATGAAAAACGGAAAATCACCCGGTGAAGATAGTATATCAGCAGAGCTCATTAAACATTGCGGAGAAAGCGCAAAAATAGAGCTGTTTACATTAATCAAGCGTGTCTGGGCTGAAGAAAGGCTGCCGGAAGCGTGGCTCACTGGCGTAGTAGTACCACTGCACAAAAAAGGTGACAAACTAGATTGTAATAACTACCGAGGCATAACGTTGTTAAGCTCATGTTACAAAATTTTTACATGCATTTTAAACAAGCGACTAAAGAATGCAGCGGAGGAAATCTTAGGTGAATACCAAGGGGGCTTCAGACCGAATCGTTCAACGACCGATCAAATATTCCTGCTTAAACAGAACTTGGAAATGAGTTATGAGTTCAATGCAGTAGTGCATATCCTTTTCATCGACTTCAAACAAGCATTTGACAGCATCGATTGAAAAATGATACAGGAAGCTCTACAATCACTCGGGATCAATCAGAAGCTCATAAAACTAATAATGATTACACTGTGCAATACGACTGGAAAAGTGATAGTGCAAGACAGTCTAACAGATGCCTTTGAAATTAAAAGTGGAGTGAAGCAAGGTGACTCGCTTTCAACTACCATTTTCAACCTAGTCCTTCACGATGCTATTAAGTCACTGGTGGCAACAGGGAACATATTCAACAAAACATCACTGACCATTGCCTACGCAGATGACATAGCCATCTTAAGCAGATCACTTCACTATATGAAAGAAAAGTTCAGCGACTTACAACTCAGAGCTAAGATCGTTGGGCTAAACATTAATGAGAACAAAACAAAATATATGAGGGTTGGAAGAAACATGCACAGCCGAATTTTAGAGCCCTTTCAAGTTAGTGAGTTTACGTTTGAAGAAGTTGAAAGCGCCAAATACTTGGGTGTCCTTATTAATAAAAACAATGAAATCAGTGTTAGTATACAAGACAGAATTGTAGCAGCAAACAGAAGTTATTACGGACACGCGAAAATCTTCAAATCTAAAATCGTGACCAGAAGTGCCAAACTACACGCTTACAAGGCAATCGTCCGCCCGGTATTATGCTATGGGGCCGAAACGTGGACTCTAACGACAGCAGATGAAAACCAAATTAGAACATTTGAAAGAAAGGTGCTGAGAAAGATTTATGGTCCCATCCGCCTGAATCAAGAAGAATTTCGTCGGCGTACGAATGCTGAACTACTACAACTTTGTGATGGTGAAGATGTGGTGAAGTTCGCAAAGTCGCAACGCTTGAGATGGTTAGGACACGTCATGAGAATGCCGGACGATAGACCACAAAAGCGAATACTCCATTTCACGCCGTATAATGACCGCAGCAGAGGTAGACCACGTATAAGATGGCTCGACAACGTGACTGTAGACATCAGGAAAATGGGTATACAAAGCTGGAGATCTAAAACATCATGCAAAGCAGAATGGAGAATGCTGGTTGATGCAGCTAAAGCTCACCCCGAGCTGTAACGCTGATGATGATGATATACCAGGTGTACCGTTATGAAATGAGCGTTTTTTGGTGAAAATAAAACACTTATTATTAATAGGAAAGTAAAAAACATTTTATTTAAAGGTTTAGCTTAACATATATTATTACATATAAATTAACTATTTTTCAGTTAATTGATTAATTGTTAATTATTTGAGAGTTGCATATTTTTTCAAAAAATATTCATTATCAGAGTACACAAAATAAAAAGTGTGAAAATAACTACCGGCAAATTCATCATTTTTAATGTATCAGAATTTCGTCTTCACTAACCTATCCTAACATTCTGTATTGCAATGCTCGAGATCTAAAGATTTATGCCACAAAGTCTAAACGTAGACGAATATCCGTTAAAAAAGTAGCTGATAAATGCAATTCAAATGATTTCTAATCAATTCCAGCAATAAATTTTCTATAATCTTGTTTAATATCTTATCAGCTGTTTGCAAAATATATATATGTGTATATATATATATATATATAAAATACAATAAAAAGAAAGTACGTCAATTTTTAGTCATTGAATCATAATCTACTTTACTTTATGAAAGAAAATTTAAACAAAGGTAGCGAATGTTCCTTGTTCTTATTGAAGTTGTTACCGACCAAGAAACAACCGCAAGAATAAAGTATAATTCGCATGTCGAAACGCAGTAACTTGCGTTCTTGAAATAAATTTATCACTTTTATTGCGAATTTCTCAAAGTAACGCGAATTATGTAAAAATAAGTCTTAGCGGAGAGGAAGAAAGTATAGTATAAGTATAATTTAAATATATATTTTCTTTGTTAATTAATACGGTTGAGTTTTTTATGGTGTATATACACTGTAAGGCAAAAGATATATATACTTTATAACAATAACTCAATGTAGTAACTTTTTTATATGTAAATTTTTTTAACCACAATTTTTATAATTTAATATTATAGTTAAACAAACAAATATGTGTTTATTCAATGTTCGAGCATAACTAGTTACTTCGTTTGAACCTAAAAAAGTGATATCTAAAATAGTCCATCATTGCTGTCGCTAAGTTCTTTAACACTGTTAGACGGCATACAACGTTATTAATAATGTCATTAATAATACATAGATTAAAAATATCAAAAGCAAAAAGCACATATTGACTTTATTATTTTCTACAACTTCATAGGAAATTAAAACATAATGTTTACAAACTGTAATAAAGACTAATTATAAATGAAGAGCAAGTTGAAAGTAGTTTACGTAGCTAAGTAGATTTTACCGTGGATCCCAAGGGACCCACTTACGTCTATAATCCCATTGTTTTACCTTATAATTTAAACCTCAAAGATTAGAATCACTTAGAACCTTTAGCACAAAGCTTATTTAGGGGGAGATCTTGCAATTCGCCAAGATCGTCAAAAAAAGAAAGACCCTAAAGTGATAAGGCGGCGCTGTGTATGTGCTGGACAGAAACAAAGCAGATGGAAGGCACTTTCATCGTCCTTTCCACAACTGCGACAGGCATGATTAAAAGGGAAATTTATTCTCCTAGCACGATTACCTAAAATACAATGACCTTTATTAAAGTAGTTTAAAGACTCCTAAAATCTTCAGAAGCAATGGCTTACGGATAATACTTCCTGACCAAAAGTGTGTTTTCGGTTTATAATTTAAACTATATGCACTGTAGGTAATCTATATAATAATAGATGTGTATATTTGTATCTATATAACAAAAACTAACAAATTAACCTGAACGAGTTAGGAGAGTAAGTAAAACTCTAGTGCATACCTATCAGGTGGTTTCTCCGTTATTCCGATGATTGTTGACATTAAAATTTTGAAAGAAATTTTATTCTAATCATTGTAATCACTTCAAGTAGTCTACAGATACAAAAATGAAATAGAGTTTTACATGAAAAATGTTTAAAAGAGATATGGAAGTTTAGTAAAATTATCCTCAAAATGTTTGAACAAAATAAAATTGTAATTTTAAAGACTACAATTCTTTTGTAATTATATCTTTTAGTTTTTTTTCTTTAAATATATTTTTTTAAAATAAAATAATTTTTCTACTCATTTAAATAATATATACCGCAATACATTTTTATACCATTAAAAATTTTAAATTTCAAACAATAATCTAAATAAAAATTCTAATATTATCTTTTATTAGAAGGTTTATATAAGCCATTAGACTATGCTTTATAATTTCTTCAAATAACAAACTAATTGAAAAAATCAATGTTAGCATTATTTGTTATTAATTAAAAATTTAAATGATTAATCATTATTATGAATAGAAGAAATTTTTGTTCATAGAACTTCATTATAGAGTTTTTGTATGAACAATACATATTAATTAAATTATAATTAATTTAATACAATTTTTTTCACAAAACTTTATGTAATTTTGATTTTTCATTAAACTCTCAATGAGTTAAGTTAACAAATAAAAAAGGGAGTTTCCAAACATATTCTACTAGTTTACTGAAAGATATATTACAAAAAAAAATCGTTAGATAAGCGTGTCTGCTGACTATTTCAAAAGGTAAGAAATGACTTACGTCAACTATTACAATATTACCTACTGATTGCAAATATTGCATTAACAGATATGTACATATATAGACGCAATTTGTGTTGATATAACTTTTTATTGCATTAATAAGATATTTTAGTATTGGGAAATGTTAATTTATATTAAATAAAAATGCAGTACGCAACGGACAATATATAAACAATTTATAACTAGAAATATATATAAATATAAAATATATAATTTAAATTTTATTTAAATTTAGAAAAGAATTTAATTTAAAATTCATCACAAATCAAAATATCTCTAAAAAATTACGATCGAACTACCATACTTCATGCCAGCAACGTTAAACAATTGAACAAGAAGGATAGGTTGAAAATCGAAGATAATATAATAGTGCAGAAACTGGGATTGTTAGACCATGAATTCAAATTGCTATTGCAATGGGAAAAACTATTTTCATCGACACTTGATAACCACCAGCTAAAATTGCTTTAAACTTTTGTGAACCCTGTTAATGTTAACATTTTTAACAAATTTTTCTTCAAGATTTAATAAAATATAGTATGTAAGGTAATACTTTGGGGCACAATAGGTCTTTTTAAATAATAATAAGCTATTACTTTTTTATATTATAATTAAAGCAATTGATTGATAAATGTGTCTGTTCTAATTTGTAACAATTTCTTAGTTTTGTTTTCTTGTAGAATATAACTTTGGATAGTACCAAAAATAACAGTGATTCTTTTAAAGTTTTCATTAACTCCTGAATGCGTTCACTTTTTGATGGAACGTATTAACTATGCTGCTAACGGAAAAATTTTTCAATCTTAATTATTTTGAAGCGGTGGTAAAAAATAGTTTTGAATATATATTGCTGTGATTTAATATTAAATAATAGACTATCAATGCACCGCGACCTAAAAGATCTATTGTACGCCTAAATGCCCAACTGAAACAATTCTAGACTTTTTATAAATCGCTTAATTGCTGTGTGCTTAATGTTACCTATTTGACTTGCGATGATGTGGTTTCTACTATTATATATAAAAAATATTGATTATATTAACTTTTAAATGAAGATTGAAACCTGGGGTGAGAAAACTATTTAAGCAACAAAGAATTTCTTAATTACCATTTGCCATATCTTATAGCTTATTTATACAAAACAAGTTAATCTTTATTAACTGCAGATCTGCATTGAATTGTTAATGCAGTTCATGCGTTTATGGTTTTCAAACTGATTTAAGGAAATCAGTATCAAATCAGTATCAGTATTTTCGTTTTTCTTTTTAGTGGTCCTTAATGATTAAGTACCACTTAAATAATTTCTAGTGCACCCAGTTCATTAATCACATAACAACTATATATTATATTACATAGCATAATAATATCATCTTCTTAGTCTACTTGATATTT